ACGCCATTATTGCTTGTATAAAAATATATATATATATATATATATAGGGAATTGTTATTGGGGATTGGATATCGGATCCAACATTTCTATGCTTTTTGGCATAGAAAACAACATTTCAAGTCTTTTTATCAAATCTCTTTTGTTGGGGATTGGATATCGGATCCATTCTAAAACATCATTCAAAGGTTTGTAGTTAATAACTAATCGTGGAACGCCGCGTTCTAATTCTGCATTTTTCTGGACATAAAAAGCAGGGCAAGACCATGGAGATTTGCTTTTACGGATAATTCCCTTTTCTAAAAGTTGATTAATTTCAGTTTTACAAAACTCTAAAACTTCTTGGTTCATTTGAATCGGTCGTGCTTTGGTGGGGATTTTTGATTCAACAAAATCTTTAATATAAGGGAGTTTAACAATATGCTGTTTTCTATGTCAAAAAGCATTTGGAAGATCTGAACAAATTTCTTTGGTAAGCTTATCAGAAAAGTGGCGAATAGAATCTAATAAAGATTTGTTTGTTAACTGTTCTTCAATTCTTTTGTGAAGAATTTCTTCCTGTAAAAAAGCAATTTGTTGGGATTTTGCAGTAATCTGGTTGAGAGTTTTTGAAACATTATCCTTTTGTAGTTGTTTTAACTTTTTAAGATCTGTTTCTATGCAAAATTCAAAAGTAATCTTTTGGCCAAAAACCTTTGTTGAAATACAGTTGTGATGAACTTTAAAAGGATAAATTAATGCAATGAAAGGAAGTCCCAAAATAACTGGATCAGAAATATTTTTAATTAAAACGAATGGAGTTTTAAAACAAACATTTTGTTGACAAACATGGGCTTTGGGGATCTCATATTTTAAATTCATTGGGGATTGATTAGCAGCGCTAAGTACCTCAGTTGATTTGTGATAATACTTTGTAGGTATTAACCCTTCTTGAATGCAATTTAAATCTGCGCCTGAATCAATTAAAGTGATGGTTTCTAAAGAAAAATCGTCAATTATTATTTTGATTTTAGAATACCATTTTCTAATTCTAATTTTGTCTAAAAGACTTAAAACAAGATCCTTTGAAGAAGAAGATTTTTTTGAGTGAGTGTCGGAATCGGAGTTTGAGGAAGAATTACCTTGTTCTTCTACAAGCGCTTGTGTACGAGCTCTACTGAGTTGTGAACGAATTTCTGTATTTTCAGATTTGAAAAATTTAATTTCTGATTTAATTTGGTTAATTTCTTTTTGTAAATCCTTGATGGTTAAATCCTTTTTTGGTTTATTAAACCGTTCCAAAGTGGTGCTGAGAGAAATCTTTTAAGAAGAAATTTGACTAGTGCCAGGTTCATGAGAAGAAATCAAATTTTTGAGTTTTTTCAAATAAAAAGATTTTAAATCAGGGTCATCGACTTTACTAATTAATTCCATTAAAAACTCTTCTTGTTCTTCTTGCTTATTAAGCACTGAAATTTTATTACAACAAGTGTCCGTGCACCCAAACTTAATGTTTGGCGAGGAGACGTCGCTAGAACTGCTAGAGTCAGAGACGGAAAAATCGGGATTTTTATCAGATTGACTAGAGTCGGTATTTCTAACTTCTAAAGCCTGAATAAGTTGAACCTTTTCTTCTTCAGAGATTTTTAGTTGGTTAATAACCTTTTTAACTCTACATTCATTTGCATAATGACCAAATTTGCCACACTTGTAGCATTTTCCCTTTGTATTTTGAAAATCCTTTTTAGGCTTTCGAAAAGGTTTTTTGTTTGGAGATGGTTTTTCATAAAATTTATTTGTTTGAAAAGGTTTGTTGGAAGATCTTTTGTTTTTATAAAATCTGGATTGATATTTAGAAAACTTGCTGGTTTGTTGGGCTTTTTTCTTTTTACTCGAAGGAGCAATTGGAGGTAAACCGTATTGTTCACAAAACGTTCCAAGTTCGTATTTAGCGATAGATTTATCTTTATTAACTTGTTTTGAAATCTTCATGTCGATACACATTTTCAATCCTTCCTTTTGTATAACATTGACTATGTTACCATAAGTAAGGATATGATAAGGTATGACACCTTCTTCGTTTACTAAAACATTTCGAATTTTGTAAGCAAAAAGGTTTGGTAAACCATTGATAAATTTTTCTTTCCAAAAAGGTTGATTACTATCTTCCCTAAGCATAACTCTGGATATGAAAACATCTTTATACCATCTGAAATCACTTAAGGTTGGACACCTTAAATTACTCAGTTGGTCGTGAATACGAGTAGTGACGTTGCTGGCTGTTCCTATAAAGTGTTCTATAATCGTATAAAGTAAAGTATTTACTCCGTCGGGTATTCCCTGTCCTATCGTTTCATCAAAGATGGGAAGTCCTTCCTCATCTTTTTTGACCGCAAAACGTATTTCATCTCTGGACTGAGAAGTTAAGTGCTTCTCCCACCAAGAATGAAGCATTCCAGTGAAACCAGTGACGAGAATATCAACGATTTGTGTTTGTGTAAAATTGTGATTTGAAATGTAGCTATTAGCAACCATGGACATATGTTGGAGTTTGTTCAAAAGTTCTTGTTCTGACAATCCATCTATATTCCATTCATAGAGTTTGTCAGCAGAGACTGAAAATTGATTTTGGATATTTCTTTCTTCAAACTGAAGATCAGGGGGAGTTGGCTTGGGATACCAGTTTTTTGTAAGAGAAGTAGGGTTGACAGGACGAGTATGAATGCGTTTTAAATCAAAAGTTGGCTGAAGATCAATGTTTTGAAAAGCATTTTCAATATTTTGGATAGCAGAACTAGTTTCCGTTTCCTGAGAAGAATCTGGGTCAGATGTGTTTTCTTCTTCAAAAGAAACATCATTGTTTTGCAAAACATTGACAACTTTCTCTTTTTTGAGCTCAGTGAGCATATGATCAATTTTTTGTAAAGTAGTCATAGAATTTAAAGCAGTAGAGCTTGAAGAAATATTAGTAAAATTTATTAAAGGTTTTTCTTTTGGAGAAGAAATTGGTTGAGACAATTTGTCGATTTTGGTTTCAATTTTGTCTAACTGTTTTCCAATGGTGTGAAGACTTTGGTTTGTAAAATTGTTCTGTTCGATGACAGGTTTAAAACTAGAATCTTCTTTTGGAATTTTGAAAGGAGTTGCGGGGATGTTGGTATTACCAGTGGTAATTAAAATAGTTTCTTTGGGAGGATGACTAGAGGAAACCAAAGTTTTGTCTTCCTTAACCCAATTTTCTTTGGTAACAACCGTAACTTTATTTTTGGTCTCATAATGTTTTTCAATGAAATCAAAGAAAGATATTTCAAATTGGTATTGTTCTACAAAAGCTTTCCACTCGGCATAAATGGCTAGCTTTTCATCATCACAATACTTTTTTCTAAAAATATTTCTTCTGGGGATGTTTTCCTCAGAAGCGATGTCAGCTTTAAGCTTCCTCCATCGGATTTTATGTGGTTTGTTTAAAACAAGTAATTGGTGATTCACCGATGTTGTTTCAAAATCAGAAGCAGTTGGAGAAGTGTGTTCTTCTTGGTTTGGAGGATGATAAACAGGATGTGCAACTTGTGAAGAAGTGTCGACAGACTTTAATTTGAGCAAATCATTGATTAAATCTTGTTGTGCAGTTTCCTGCTCTTTTAACTTTTTGTTTACTAAAGATTTGATCAAATCTTGATCTCAACCCAGTCTATCGGTTGACGTAGATCCAGAAAAAGACTGTCTGCTAGGAGCAAAAGATTTGTGTGAATGTACTGATTCGCAAGATTGCCTTGCTGGTCGATCAAAATTGATTTTTACAGTGCCGTCAAAATATTGTTCAATGTTGTCAAGATTAACAAGACTGTTTTGGACGGAAACCGGTTTACTTTCGTTGATTAAACACCAATCTGAAGGGAGACTGATGTCTGACCACCTAATGGTTCTTGGTACTCTTATGTTTGCGCCTTCTTGGGTTGTTTGGATCAAAAGAGTGTGGTCACGAGGACTTTTGTTCAAAGCTTGAAAATTCATGTTTGTGCCAGTGACTTTGTAATAAATTCTAAAAATAAGTGCCAAAGGTTGTGTTCCTTCCAGGACTTGGTACCCGGAGGTTTTGATATTGAGAGTAAGAGCTTTTAAAACATGTGGGTCTGAAAAGACTTATTGTGAGATCTGGAAAACAATCAAAATGGATAGGTCCGTTGTAAAGACTAGATTCGATCATTCCGAGGATACTATCGTTGAAATCAGTAAATCTAGCGTCGCGTAGACATAAAAGGATAGAAGTGTTAAGACATTTTCGTGTTAATGGTTTAACTGCGATTTGAACTAAACCAATATGAAGATAGTTATGACCATTTTTGCGATGCGCTTTGATTTGTTCCGGAGAAAATAATTGACAAGTCTCATGTTCTTTGCTAAGAGCATAAGCCTTCTCAACTGTTTTGACGTGATGTTCGGATTTAAAAGAGGTCAAAGACCATTTTTTCTTGTAAATATTTTGGGTTGAAACTTTTGGAAGATTCCAGTCAGAAAAATCAATACTTTCATCTGTTTGAAAATCAAGTTTTTGTTCCTCATTGACAATGTCAGGTATAGTTCCTAAGTTGGATCTAGAGCTAGTGCTGGCTATTGAATTAGATCTAAATAATCTACTCATGATGCACACAAAAACAAATATGCTATATGCAAGACTTAAAAGATTCACCTTCCTCGTATGTCTAGACTCTTCCCCCGCTCATGCGCTCCGCTCATGCCTCTCCTGGGACTTATTGTTTGGACCACGTCTTACTGTTTGGCTGGAAGAAAGAAGAACTGAGGACCGACGATTAAGAAATGCAGATAGAATATAAGAATGTATGAATCAGAAATAGATCAGATAGATGCTAAAGCAATTACCAACCACTTGGCTCTGATACCAAATGGGCAGATCAAGCAGATCTTCAAGATGCCCAAGATCCGTTTGATTATTAACATTCAGTATTTGCCCATGTGATTGTATAGTTACTTTACATTCTATATATATATATATATATATATATATATAGAGTAATGGCTTAACCGCTGACCTCATTACTCATTAGTCCCCCGTATCCCCAGCTTTCGCTCCGTCACCAAAGCCTGAGTCTTCCTCTGCATCGCCAGCAGCACGTTGTGCCACGTGTTCACTCTCGAATTCACCTTCCCGTACACCCCCACATTCACGTCCTCCAAATCCCGCGTCTCCACTGCCAAAACCTCACCCACCTCCGCGCCGTCGAGCATCCAAATCAGGCACGAGCAGAACCCCTTCGAGATCTCCGAGTCGCTGTCCGCCCGGAACCTAATCCTCCCCGCCTCGTCCATCTCCGCCTCCACCCACACCTGCGTCGAGCACCCCTGGACTCGGCTCTCTGGCTCCCGCGCCGACACATTGTCCGGCGGGAGCCTCGCTGCGTAGTGTAGTAGCCGCTTCACGCGGTCGATTGGCTCCACCAGGGACTTGAATTCCAAAACGAGCCGTTTTATCTTGTCAGCCACCATCACCGTGGCCTTCGACGGAGGCGCCTCCGCCGCCGTCAAGGCCAACGCGCTCGGGTTTCGAATTCCTCGATTGGGGATGCATTTTATGGATAAGGGACATCTGTTGTTTTGTTTGTCGAGTTTCAACTTGGCCGGTATAAGGTTGTGGAATTGGCGGTTTGAGGATGATTCGGCCGCAGCGGAGCGGGAGGAGGAGAAATGAGGCAGTGTTGTTGTTGTAATTGCCGTGGAGTTCATGTTTGGATGCAGAGAAAGCGATGGAAAGAGGAAAAGAAAAGTCGGGAAAATGTTAGATAGAGAGAGAGAGAGAGAGAGAGAGAGAAGTGAGGGAGTTGGTTAAACTGGAAGGTGGAGAGCAAGAAAATTGGAGATCCTTAAAGTGCGCACCGTCTTCCCTCGTTGTCCGCCGCGAAAGTTTCAATGAGGATAGAGGAGTGAGGAATTTACGATATTTATAAATGAGGGGTTGGTTCAATAGTTCGCCACGAGGGAAAGAACATTACAAAATTAATGTCGTAAGGTATCTTGCATGTGGTCCAAATATTCCTGTGGACAGGGTCTTGGATAGTCCCTATTTGAAACTCATCATTTTTAAATTATTACAATCGTTTCGAATTTTTTTCATTTTTTAATAAGAAAAGTGTTATCGGTATTCTAAAAATCTTATTTTACACTCCTCCCAAGTGTATTTTTCTTTCTAAAATAGAAAGTTAGGAGTGTAGAATGAGAATTTTGGAGTGCTAATAACAATTCCTTTTAATAATAGTAAATTTGTAAAAAGGATTATTTTTTTGGAATTAAATTGATTTTTTTAGTAGAGTTACAGTCTTAGTGGATTAAATAGTTAATTTTTAGTAACGTTGAGAATTATAAGAACGATTCTTCACATAGTGCATAGACATAATTAATTTTTACTACTACAGTAAAACGCCATTTCCAGAGATTAAATTGATTTTTTTTTTTCGTTTTCTATGGGTAAATAGAAAACAATTATTAATACTAATTAAGTGATGCCTCCTTTCATCGTTGACGGATATGAACTCCACGGCAATTACAACAAAATAAAAATATTCATATTACAAATCAACTAAATAAAAATTTGACTATTGTCCAATTATCAAATATACGAATTCAATGTTTTTGGATTGAGTTAGAGATCGTTTGCAAGTACTTAACTAACTGAAAATGATGTTAGAGAAAATATTTTTGAAACCAATTCTTTAGTACAAATGCAAGTTAATCTTGAAAAAGCATCTGAAATGCCTTCTGCAAGAAACACAAAACTTGTACTTCTTGAAAACTACACTTATGTGCTTTTAATGTTTTTGCAACAAAAATTATTTACTCTTAGGGCTGGTTTGGTATTGCTGTGCTTTGAAAAAAAACTGTTTCTGCTGTGTTGTGAGAATAAGCTCATTTTTTATGCTTCATGTTTTTAGCTTTTTTTCATCCAAAATTATGAAAATAAGTATTTTTAAGTGTTTATCAAACACCTTTTTGAGCTCAACTTTTTTTATACCCACTTTTTATAAAAGCACCTCAGTACCAAATCAGTACTTAAAACACTTTCAATCATCAAAAAACACTTCTCAAATGCTCCCTTAGTTTACTGCAAGAGATTAGATTAAGCAACCCAAAGAGGTAGGAAATGAATTAAGATATTACCGCCGCTAGTGACGGTAATAATTTTAATAAATATAATATTCCAAACTAAAAGTTGGGTCTGCCGCACGTGATGATATGATATGTATGTCTTAAGTGGAACTAAAATGTGACAGTTAATTAACTAATTAATTTTATAAAATTATCTTTACACAGTGTGACTTGTGTGCTTACGTAGCCGAATAGAATTAGATATTTTTCATCAGCCACCTCTGTTGCTTTAATTATTTCATGCTTCAAGCTTTGTTCATCCACTAATTATGTGCACATATGAGAGATGATCGTGAGGTTATATTATTAAATGGCACTTATTTTTAAATTGTACCGAGACTTTCTGAATTCAAATTTCATATCTTAAAAAATTTATTAGGCTTTACTCATCATGCGACGGATATGAAATGCGAAAAAATTGACGTTACGCTTTATTCTTGTTCAAATTATTTTCTTTTTATCATCGTTTCAGATTGACGTCCAACATACCGTAATCATTCCTGTAATTACCAAAAATATCCGAAAATGTACACGATGAAGTTATATGTAGTTGCTTGTTGGATATGTAACGTGCTTAGTGATGTAGCTTTTGGAGTACAATGTGTGTTTCTTTCCCTTAAATTTGTATCCATCACGTGGTGGTCTTGCAATATCATTGAATTATGTTCGACGACCAAAATTTAAAAATTTGGCATTTATACTAACTAAGAAGAGAGAAATTAAGGAAAATTTGGACGTAAACTGTAATTATGAACAAAATTCATCACAAGTCTTTAATTGACAGTTTTGAACCACGATAGTCAAATTGAAAGTGTGATGTCATCACATGAACCATGAAAAAAGGTAGCCTATTGTTATGTATTTATTTAAATTCGCTTGGCACTTTTGTATTTATATTTGTTTTCTTTGGAGTGGCAGGTATTTCAAATGAACTACGGAATCGCAATTCCATCCAAATTTGAGGGTGCAAAATATAATAAACGGAATTATCATTCTCACTGATTCTTAAAGATTAAATATTACAGCATATGCCACATCCCTTTCCCTCTTACTTGCTGAACAAGAAAGAACATGAAGAACAAGCAGCAAAACTACACCTAAAAAATGGTTTGGATTATCCTGCACCTAAATACAGTGCAGGACAATCAGTGCAGCCCCGTGCGGTACGACCGAAAAAGAAATTGCGTCGCCTATTACCCCTAAGTCTTGTCCGGTCCATACTTCCGATCCCGTGCAAGAACCTCTGGCCAAGTTTGTCATTGGAAGTTCTTTGACTATGTCTGCTCTTTGTGCAGTTATAGTAGCCCAATCACCGAACAAATTGAAAAACGCTATGTATATTTCTCCTGTAATTGCAGAAACGCAAACAGAATCAGAATTCACAATCGAGAAATATGCACCAGTTACGTTGAGAATTGAGAAATATGCTAAACCTTTTGTTCCAGTTGCAATCCAAGAGCGAGCAACATCAGTGTCGGCTTTAGCTGAACAGGTGATCAACTTGTAAGTTAAAACCATGATTTAAACATAATTTCAAGACTCACTGACAGAATCAATGTACGAAAAGGCACTCGTTTTTTAATTTATTACCTTCAAATAAAGAATCAATTCTTGCACAGAGGCCAGAATAACTATTCACCAAGGTTCCGTTGGGGTTCAACTCCCACATCTGTTAAGTTCAAATACGTCATTTCAAAAAGTCACTCATTCACGATACAATTCATTCCGTACAACTTGTTCAGATTAGACACTCAATGGTGTCTGCAAGATATCAATTCTGTATGGATTAAGTCTATGTATTGGGACTGAAGATACCTGGTTTGCATCCCATCTACAAGGTGAAAAGAAACCTCTCTTAACGTCCTTCGAAGTAAGCTTTTGTTTAGGAGAAGCATGCAAACAGCGATCCGTTCCATCATTGGCTAATAAATTGACCTTCCCCTGATATTGCTGTTTGTCCGTTATGTCTTCATCTCTATATCAGCATTGAAACCAGATTTATCAAATTCGGAACAGCGCAAGTAAACATAATAAAATTGAGAAAAACAGATCAGCGAAAGATAAAGAAATATTACATTGCCAGGAGAGATTCTCTCTTGTTTAAGCAAAAAGGTGCCTGATGTTTGCCCCTTGAGTTTGCCGTCCAGCAGATGTGTTCAGGATCTTGGTCAAGAGCTTGAGAGGACCAACCAATTGCCTTTGCATCTGCACAGGTAGTGAGACCAAGAGCATGTGTATTTGCAGTTTTCGCATTTGTCAGATGTCTTCTTGATTGCCAGGTGTGAACCTGATCATCATTCTCAACGGCCTTTGTACTCACATTACTGGTAACGTATGAAAACTGTAAATGCAAAAAAATAAGATTTTACGTTGCAACCACTAACAATTTTTTTTCTTATAATTTTATGAATTGTGTATTCAACATACCTCCCTATTATTTGAGCTAAAAGAATTTATCTCCAGCACGGTAGGATTTGCAAGGAGTTCCATTGTGACATCATTAAGCTGTCTCATATCCCCTCCAAACATAAGAGGAGACCTGGCCATTGACCACAAAGTCATCTGTGAAAATAAATACACAAGGTCAAAAACATTGCTCAGCGAATAAAAAAGGACTTAAAAGACTCAATCGTCCTCATGTAAGTACCTGCGTTCTTTGCTCCATTAAACCGAGATTAGTCCATCTGTGTGGACCGTCATTTGAACCTAATATTTCAAAATATGAAACAGAAATTATGAGAACCACTCATCAAATATAAAACTCAAAGTGCATTTCAGATTTTCTAAATTTCGAGGAGATAAATAACCCTGCAATGCCTTATAATGATATTCTAGAACTATCCGGTTGAAGTTGCTCAGCCGAATTGACATGGATACAGTTGGTCCTAGATATTGAACTTGATCGTTTTCGCTCTCAAATGCAGTGCGATGACAACCCATCAGTATGAAACCAAGCACATCAGGCAAGCGTCAATAGAGCTCAGTCATCTATCTTAGAATCTTGAAAGGAAAATATTCATTCCCATATAAAGGAAATAAAAATGCTAACTCCTCTGACCTGGATCACTAAGCCATCCCAATGGAAGCATATCTAAGTCCGGCCATGACTTCCCTAGCAAGCCTTTGGCTCCTATCATATCAGCAGCAGCAAAATCCCTGATACGGAATTTATTGTGTTCAGCACACACGAAAAACAAAGAATATGCGAAAGTCAATCTGAACGAAACCTTGTACTGAAAAACAAGTCAATCACCTGGTTACATCAAAATGGGCTAGAACATCTCCCCATGAATCCCAATCATCCCCAGTTATACGGTACATGTTGACCATTCCACTTATAGCCTTGGCCATATCAGGTGTTACTCTGGTTCCAGGAGATAGAGAATACAATATAGGACGGTCAAGTTGCTTCAGAATCTGGAGAAGTATGCATTATTTGTTAAGCACCCACTCTCCATCACAATATTGATGAAGATTCATGTTTTTGTGTGTGTGTGTGTGTGTGTGTGTGTATGTGAGAGAGAGAGAGAGAGAGAGAGAGAATTACATCTGAAATGTAGGTTATTTCTGGTACATCTAAGTCTTCACCAAACACACAGTCATTTTTCACTGCAAGGGGGTGGGTAAAAGAAGCAACCAATGACAGAGTTAGCAAGAGATAAAGCATGGACTTGGCTAATAATATCAGAGGAGTATCCTGATGATTTACGTCGTCATCCATAACTGAAGCAATCTTAATATTGAACAAAATACG